CCATAAACATGCGCTGCATATAGATCAGTAAAAAGAAATTACAGAAATCAGCTTTGGCAGTCAGTATTTTTAATTGCATATATATGCACATAAGCCATACTCCCTTGATAAAAATAAAGCTTGAAGAATCTTTAAGCATGTGTGAGCGCATATACTGTGCAGTCCATAATCGCGAATTTTCAAATAAAAATGTCTGATGTTCATACTTCAGTACCCTTATGGGTAAGTACTCTTATGGAAACTGAAGCATTCTGGGATATGTGATGTGTCTATCCTAGGAGGCTGCGGAGTGGAGAAGACCTCAGTCTCACTTAGGTGAGAATGCTAGAGGGCAAACTAAATAAAAAAAACAAAAACAAATAAAATTTGCGGTGGATGGCAGGAGGAGTACAGGGGAGGCTAGTGCTTCTGATGAGTGAAGGTCCACTTTAAGTAAAGCGTAACTTTTTATTGAGAATGTCAAATAGTAAATCTGCCGTTGTCCTTACAGGACCTTGCTGTATATTACTTGTATTTCTGTTTTCCTGGGGATTATGCTGAAGATGGAACAATGGGTGCTTTGTTTTAGACGTATTTCTTACATGCGAGTTGCTAGAATTTATATTTAGAGCCGACAGAAAGTGCCACAGAGTCTCAAAGAACGCCGGGCCCTCAGTGGATGCCAGGAAAGAACTCTTAAAGGGATTTTCACCAGTTTATATTAGATCATTACCTGAAATCAGGAACATTTAGTTTCTAAAAGACAGTAATGCTTTTTGTAATTTAAAGCTGAACTCCGGGCACAAAAATTTCATCTAAATAAATTCCTCAAAAGTCACAAAGGATATAAGTCCACTGTGCATGTGCTAAACACCTTTGCAAACCCAGATCTCTATCTATCCATTCAGTCGTATCCGACTCTTGGCGATTGCATGGACGTCACTCGTAAGCGACGTTTTCCATGAATTCTCTTAGCAATTATTTTTACAGGGTAGGTTGCCAGGTCTTTCCCCAATCCCTACTATGCAGGAGATCCCGCATGGCCAGGGATGAAACTGGGACAATTTAGACAGGAGCCAATTAACCTACCAGCACATCTTTGGAGTGTGGGAGGAAACCGGAGTACACGGAGGAAACCGCAAACCCAGATATTATCATTGAATTTATCACTGTGCTGTACATAGCTTGCGCAGGGAGCAGAGCTGTAGAAGGGACATAGCAACTCCACCCACTACAGGCTGGCAGCAGAGAACTACAGGAGGGGGTGGGGACAAGACCAGTCACCCTGCACAAGAAGAGAGAGTTGCAGTGAGCGGTCTTGATTACAGGAAGCTTCAAGACATATATGTTAAAATGCCTTTTTTATATGTTAAAAAAAATCTGAAGAATATATTTTAAAAATATATATTTTAAAAATATATATTTTTAAAAATATATGTATTTTAAATATATTCTTCAGATTTTTTTTTAACATGTAAAAAAGTCATTTTTACATATATATGTAAATGCATTCCAAAAATGTAGACAAGTATTTTTAAAGACGTACAGTATATTTGAAATTTATTTTTAAAAATATTTTTCATATATTTTGTAATAAATACGCATTTCAACTTGCAGTATATATATATATATATATATATATTATATTTATATATATATATATTGAAATATATTTTGAAATATATTGAATATGGCCAAAATTGTAGTATGTCAAATATATGGCAATATATTTGGAAAGAATATTTTTTAAATATATTTAAACTATATTTTTCTTCCATGTGGGTTATTTAGACAATAATTACTTATCTCAGAGTAAAGCTTCAAAAGCATGTTGTAGTTTAATGTGTAAAAAAAATTGCTTTTCCATTTCAGTCTGTAAAAATTCTGATATGGCTTCCTTCCAACAATGGGGGTTTTCTGAACACAGAACTCCCCCCGAAATGTCATTTCTTGCATATGTGATTGGCCTACTGCTTTTCTCATATTAGAAAACCTAAGACTGATTGAGTGGTCGATTATAGTCGGTAGACCCTTCCACTTAGCATTCAGGAAAGACATGACAGCAGGATTTAGGAAGTGCATTTTGTAGTGCAGCTTTGTGGGTTTTTGGCGCTTTTTTTATGTGTTTTGATGCGTTTTTCATGCTGATGCATTTTTTTTGTAGGAGGAAAGGGCTAGATCTTATACACAAAACGCCCCAAAAAACCCACTAAAAATGCATGTACATGCAGTTTCCATGCGCTCCAATTGTCTATGAGGCAAAACACAAGCTCCAGTGCACCAAAAGAAGCCGGTGCAGCTGCCCTGCATTGACAAGAACGGGTACCATAAAGTATAATGTGATTTCCATTGTCATGCAGTGCAACGTCACAGCAAACGCTGGAGAAAATGCACTGGCATGAACGGGGGCTAGAGGTCTTGTGATGTATAGAGTTGACCAGGAGGGCATTGCTTATCGACAAATGTTGTGTCTCACATTTACTTACAAAGCTTCTGAAAGAATAAATAATTCTATTACCCATACAAACCAATATGAGTTCAGTTGTCATTTTTCTTTTGTTAAAGTAGAGTTAAATCACCTGTGTTTTTTCATTTTCATTTTTACATCCCCAAATAAACAATTTGTTAAAATTCTTACTCCAGCACCTGCAGTATGTAACTTTCAATGCTGTTGGCTCCTGCTGTCCCAGTGCTGCTTCCCTGAACTTCCAGTGTTCACAGGAAAACATTAACAACAGTGTTGATTTTGCGACTAAAATATTTTTGTCGGTCAATCGATCAACTTGGTTCATTCAGCCTGCCCATACATGGTTTGAAACTGGCCGAGATTTGACCGTCTATGGCCAGCCTTACCCTAGGTTCACACCTAAGTGTTTTCCGCAGCATTTTGCAGAAACGCACTACAATCCATTTAATATGATTTCCTGTGAGACACGTTCACATCTCCGCGTTTTCACCTGGTGCGTTTTTTAGAAAGGGTCAGGGACTTTTTTGAAGGAAAAAAGTTTTTGGTTGTTTAGACTTAAATGGAAAAGCTTCCTAGCAACAAGAAATAAAAGACGCAAAACGCGTCACAAACACAACACAAAACGCACTGCAGAAATGGATCAAATGCAAACTGCATAGGTGTGAACCTAGACTTAGAGAGGAGGCTGCAGTGACCTGACTACACCACTGAAGGTGCCCGATGGAGTGCAGATTAATTAAGCGTTTTTCCCAATGCTGGCACCCCTACATTATCATTATTATACAGGATTTATATAGCGCCAGGGGCGGACTGACAACTCATGGGGCAACTGGGCAATAGGGGATCATGGGGCCCCTGTGTCCTTGCCCAAACTCAAAAAAGCCTATGAAAAAGGTAGCAGGGGCATCTCATGGGGCCCCCTACTGACCCCAAGGCCCTCTGGCAGTGCCTGAGTTTCCAAATGGTCAGTCCGCCCCTGTATAGCGCCAACAGTTTGCGCAGCGCTTTATGAAATAAAGGTAGACGTTACAGTTACAATACAATTTGGTACAAGAGGAAACAGAGGGCCCTGCTCATTAGAGCTTACAGTCATATAACAGTTAACAGTTGAAGTGCTGGGGATCCACTGCAATAATACTTTCTTTTGTTGTGCCCAGAGGAAAGGATCTCTTAATGCACAGATGTCAAACACAAGTCCAAATCCGGCCCTCCTTGCCATTCCATGTGGCCCTTGCACCTCTCCTCCAGGTAGCCCCTTGTCTCCACCCCAACCTTGTCTCAGCAGTAAGGAGAATAGAACTCCTCTGCCAAATCCTGCGCCTCTCAGTGCAGCTGCAGCACCCCCTCATCTCTGCCTCCCCTGGTCTCCATTTAACATTTAGGTACCAGAGTCTGCATTTAGCAGACTCTGGTAACTGACTCCACTCCTCCTCTGGTCCTTCTCCAGACCCTGCACTTTCTGCTTCTGGCTCTGCCCCCAAAAGGAGGTGCACAGTGATGTTAGGGAGGGTGTGGGATTCTTGATATCTGATGTAATGGGGGGTGGGGTGCTCTGGACATCTAGTCTCACAGATATAACCGGCCCTTTGAGGGCAACAATAATGCTGATATGGCCCACGATGAAATAGAGTTTGACACCCCTGTGTTAGTGTATTAAAGGACATTTTAATGGGCTGCCTTCATTTTTTTGGGATTTCAGTTTAAAGTGAAACCTCTTATAAATGAGAAATATACAAGTCGCCACCTTTGTCCTTAATACTGAATAAATGCTGTATGTTATTATTATATTATACAGGATTTATATAGCACCAACAGTCTTGTATTGGGTCAGTAATTTCTAATCAACTAAAGTCAATGGCTAGATATATAACATTCCAAAAAACGTTTGCAATGGCAGCCTACAGTACATATCACATGACATTACCCCGATTGTAGCAGTACAGTGACTGTGCCAAATGGATGTGATGCTGATACACCAACATGGGTGTTTGTGTGTGCATATTGTATATTATGAGATTTAGCTTCTTATATACCCATTCTGAATTATTGAAATTCATCACATATTATATATGTACTGTATATCTGTGTTAATGTCTAGAAAATACAACTGCAGTGTCTAGAGCAGGGTTTCTCAACTAGGGTTTCTCCAGTGGTTTCCAGGGGTTCCTTGAGTAATGAGCAATTTTTGCCTCTCAGGTACCGTATTTTTTGCTTCATAAGCTGTACCTGACCATAAGACGCACCTAGGTTTTAGAGGCGGAAAACAAGAAAAAAAATGTTCTGAACCAATGGACTGCAGACACAGTACAGGAAATGACCAGAGACTGCAGACATAGTACAGTAGGATGACCAGAGACTGCGAACATAGTACAGGAGACGACCAGAGACTGCAGACATGCTATAGGAGATGACCAGAGACTGCGGACATAGTACAGGAGATGACCAGAGACTGCGGACACAGTACAGGAGATTACCAGAGACTGCGGACAGTACAGGAGACGACCAGAGACTGCAGACATGCTATAGGAGATGACCAGAGACTGCGGACATAGTACAGGAGATGACCAGAGACTGCAGACGTACTACAGGAGATGACCAGAGACTGCGGACACAGTACAGGAGATGACCAGAGACTGCAGTCATAGTATAGGAGATGACCAGAGACTGCAGACACAGTACAGGAGATGACCAGAGACTGCGGACATAGGACAGGGGATGACCAGAGACTGCGGACAGTACAGGAGATGACCAGAGACTGCGGACAGTACAGGAGATGACCAGAGACTGCGGACAGTACAGGAGATGACCAGAGACTGCGGACAGTATAGGGGATGACCAAGAGACTGTGGACAGTATAAGGGATAACCAGAGACTGCAGACAGTATAGGGGATGACCAGAGACTGCGGGACAGTGCAGAGGATGACCAGAGACTGTAGACAGTGCAGGGGATGACCAGAGACTGCAGACAGTACAGGAGATGACCAGAGACTGCAGACAGTACAGGGAATGACCAGCGACTACAGACAGTACCGGGGATGACCAAGAGACTGGGGAGGGAGGGGGAGTGGGTAACTGAATTTGACACGTACCCGCTCCCACTTCCGTGGAGTTGTCCTCCCTTTAGTGTGGGCACCTGGCTAACAGCCGGGTGCCCAGTGTGCATGCGTGAGAAGCGCTGTGCTTTGTGATTGGTCCGGTGTCTTCTGGGACCAGTCATGTGTCCCAGAAGACAACGTACCATTCACAAAGCGCACCGCTTCTCGCGCATGCGCACTGGGCCCCCGGCTGTCACAGCCGAGAGCCCACACTACAGATGCCGGCGCGGGAAGACTGTACAGCGCTGGACCGAGGAACAGGTAAGGTCATGCTGCAGAGAAGAGACGAGCGGACGTAGTGCCGGGCCCGGTATTCTCACATGGGGGCGGCGGTGGGAATACCGGACCGGCCGCTCCATATTAGCTCCATAAGATGCACTGACATTTCCCCCCCTTTTTTTTTGGGGGGGGGGGAAGTGCGTCTTTTGGAGCAAAAAATACTGTAAGTTCCCACTGACACCATTGATCTTTTTAGCTATCTGTAAGGGGGTAATTCATCCCAATGAGGTGTAAGGAGCATTCTTACCTCTGACTATCACACTAATGTATCATGAATTGTGCAGAAAGTCATTTTAGCAGGGGTTCCCTGAGACCGGAAAGTTATGTCAAGGGTTCCTCAGTGTTGAAAGGCCGGTGTAAAGCTATGAATCTTTAGAAAAACGCTTGCATTTACAGTGGTGTTCGGTAGCAGCTGTGCTGGCTTGGTGTATTACATGGACTAAGTATAGATTTACCAGAATCATAAAGATGCCAGGTGGCCTATACTTCTCTCACTAAGAGCTTCCTCCATTCACAGATTTCCCTGCCAAGTTGGTCAGGTCCCTAATACATTGTGTAATGTTGTTGTATTCCAGTGTCTCACTGTGTCTCCAGTAACCAATCAGATTTAAACTCTAATTAGATATTGCAAGTCTAAAAATAAAAATAAGAAGTGGATTGGTTCCTAAGATAGTTACATTATTAGATTGTAAGCTCCTATGAGCTGTCTTCTTTTAGCTTGTAAAGCATTGTGCAGACTTTTGGTGCTATATAAATCCTATATAATTCTACTACTACTAATAATAATAATAGACAATTCTTGTTTTGGTATCAAGATTCAGTTCACACTGCCTTGATGTGATTTTGATGCGCTTTTTAATGTGACTTTGTACTGCAAATTTAAAGTGACTTTGATGCGACTTTGCACATTCTATGGGACCAAATTGCACTGGAAATCACATCAAAGTAGTACAGGAACCTTTTCCAAAGTCACACCATGCTGAGTTGCATTGATGAGAATGGGAACTATTGAAAATAATGTATTTTCCTTTGTCATGTGATTCTTTGTGGCTCAAGCCTCTGTGGCCAAGCCCCCTATGGGTGGGGCGAAACGCATCAGAGGGCATGGCCGGAGTGACGGCTGAGGCCACTCACAACATAGCGTCTTTCTCTCTCTGACTCCTGCAGATCGTTATGAGCGGTGTCCATCTTCCTTTCTCTGCATATTGTCAAGCCTTTGGATTAGCTTGGGATGCCGCACCCCTTTTCCTTGCCAGTGGAATGATCGCAATCTTTTCAGCATTCAGCGGCGCCATAAGTTTTGCAATACGGTCTATGTGACTTAAGTCACATCAGAAATAATACCAGTGTGAACCCTAAATGTAAACCCTAAATCTATTTTTTAGAATGTTTGGCATCACACCTCACTATATAGTATCTCCCACAGTACACAGAACATGGAAGTGCAATTATTTTAGTAACTATGAACTGCTAAATACCTATTCTCATCAGAAGTTAGAGCAGTCTTGTGGCTTCTATCAGTGTCCAGCCGAGCACTAGCTAAAGCTTGCTAAAGCTTGTAGAAGGAGTTTTCTTTCTGCTCAGAGGATGCAAAACCCCTGACCTCTGTCTGACCAGTGCTGATTGGCCTTGTGTTGATAACATGCACTCTCCCAAGAAAAAAAGAAACCTCTCTAGCAATACACACCAAACTGAACATATGCAAAATGCCTATAGTTCAGTCTGTCTAATCAGGAGATAAGAGGTGGTCGCTTAAACAAGGGGAGGAACAGAGCAATCAGGGTCAAATGGCCATTTTAGACAATGCAGAGGAATAACCCCTTGAGTTCCACAGTGAGTATAACAAGCATGCTTTACTGCATATACAGACTGATTTTACTGTTGTGGGTTTAGTAACACTTTAACCTCTTCCCGTCCGGCACATGCCGATAAACGGCCGGATGGGAGCGCTGCCAATGCGTTGGGATGTTTTTAAATGTCCCCCTACATCCATTGCCTGTGTGTGCTCCCTGGGAGCACGCAGCGCCGTGATCTGTGCCTGCTGTGCCCAGTGGACTGATTGGCCAATCAGTGATTACACAAACAGTGGTAAACAAAATGTTACTTCCTAACATCATTGTTTACTACTAGTGAAATCTGAATGATCACAGAGGTCACATGGCACAAGGCTATTCACAACAGCCTTATACCATGTTACAAGCTGTGACCAATCACAGCTGTCACAGTATTTCTGAATGGCTGCAAGAATGAAGCCAGAGACAAAGAGAAATTATTGCTTTTTACATGTGTGTAAAAGCAATCAGTGTAAGAAAAATAAAAATCTTCATCACCCACAAGTAGTACAGTGTCACTATGGTGACACTGTACTGCTAGAGTGACAGTATGTAAAAAAATAAATAAATACATAGATAATTAAAAAAAAACAATAAAAATGTAAAAAATCAAATTTGAAAAATTATAATTTATTTAATAAACTAATTTTTTTTTTTTTTACCAAAAAGATAGCTGAATACATTTTGGCAAAGATTTATGAAGAAAGATTATTTATTTACAAAATTTTATAAGAAAAACACTTTTAAAAAAAAGTTTGGTCTTTTTCATTTATATAGCAAAAAAATTAAATCCAAGTGGTGAAAAATACCACCAAAAGAAAGTTTGATCTGTCTCAAAAGAATGCTAAAAATTTCATATGGGTACAGTGTTGCATGATCGCGCAATTGGCATTCAAAGTGTGATAGCACTGAAAGCTGAAAATTGGCCTGGGCAGGAAGGGGGTGAAAGTATTCGGACTTGAAGTGGTTAAAGAAATATTTTTGTGTGCCAGTAACAAACACTTCCTGATGCAGGCTGACAACTCTAAAGATGACCATTCACTATATAATCTGTTGGTACAATCTCTGTAGTCTTTTTTATGGTAGCCACACATGCATAGATATTTTTATACGATTTGATCAAAATGTTGGACTCCACAAACAATTGAATAGCCATAACTTCATAAATTCAACTTAAACTGGGGTTCGATGAGCCAAGCTGGGAAATTATCTATCATTTTGCATCGATTGGCAGCACTCGGATACTTTGTTCATGGTGATATTTTTTATATAAACAGATTATGAGATTCCATGATGGAAATGGGGATACAATTGATAACTGTGATTATAAATTACAATCGCATCTTAACCATCAATTGCAATCCACTTCCCTGTATGTGACATATTTATCGAATGGGTTGATGACTATACAGTTGCAAGAAAAAGTATGTGAACCCCTTGGGATTACGTGGAGTTTTGCATGAATTGGGCATAAAATGTGCTCTGAACGTCATCTAAGTCACAACAATAGAAGAACACAGTCTGCTGAACATAATACTACACAAACATTAGATGTTGCCATGGTTTAATTGCACATAACATGTAAACATTCACAGTGCAGGGAGGAAAAAGTATGTGAACCTTTGATTTAATAACTGATTGACCCTCCTTTGGCAGGAATAACCTCAACCAAACGTTTCCTGTAGTTGCAGATCAGACCTGCACAACGATCTGGAGTAATTTTGGGACCACTCCTCTTCACAAAATTGTTTCAGTGTAGAAATATTCTTGGGATGTCTGGTGTGAATCGCTCTCTTAAGGTCATGCCACAGCATTTCAATCGGGTTGAGGTCAGGACTCTGACTGGGCCACTCCAGAAGGCGTATTCTGTGCTGTGGCAGCCATTGTTTTGAAGAATTACTTGTATGCTTTGGGTCATTGTCCTGTTGCATCACCCATCCTCTGCGGAGCTTCAGTTTGCGGACAGATGGTCGTACGTTTTCCTGCAAAATGTCTTGATAAACTCTGGAATTCATTTTCCCATCAATGACAACAATCCGTCCAGGCCCTGAGGCAGCAAAGCAGCCCCAAACCATGATGCTCCCTCCGTCATGTTTTACAGTGGGGATGAGGTTTTGATGTTGGTGTGCTGTGCCTTTTTTTTCTCTCACATAGTGTTGTGTGTTCTTCCCAAACAACTCAAATCTTGGTTTCATCTGTCCACAGTATATTTTGCCAGTAGTGCTGTGGAACATCCAGGTGCTCTTTTGCAAACTTCAAACGTGCTACAATATTCTTTTTGGACAGCAATGGCTTCCTCCGTGGTGTCCTCCCATGTACTCCATTCTTGTTTAATGTTTTCCTTATTGTAGATGTGTCAACAAAAATGTTAGCATGTGCCAGAGATTTCTGTAGGTCTTTAGCTGACACTCTGGTATTCTTCTTTACCTCATGCAGCATTCTGCGCTGTGTTCTTGCAGTCATTTTTACAGACGACCGTGCCTAGGGAGAGTAGCAACAGTGCTAAACTTTCTCCATTTGTAGACAGTCTGTCTTACCGTGGACACATGAACATCAAGGCTTTTGGAGATACTTTTGTAACCCTTTCCAGCTTCATGCAAGTCAACAATTCTTGATCATAGGTCTTCTGAGAGCTCTTTTCTGCGAGGCATGGTTCACATCAGAGAGTGCTTCTTGAAACCAGTAAACCCAAAACAGGTGTGTGTTTTTTTTTAGGGGCAGGACAGCTGTCAGCAACACATCCAATATCATCACACTGATTGGAGTCAAGGTTGGCTCACTCCTGGCTCCAATTAGCTCTGGGAGAAGTCATTAAGCTAGGGACTCACATACTTTTTCCTCCCTGCACTGTGAATGTTTACATGTTATGTGCAATTAAACCATGGGAACATCTAATGTTTTT